TGCATAAATTGTTTTGAAAGCTTCATGACGAATTTTAAGGATTACTTACAGGGGTAGGACTCTGGAGGAGGAAATATAAATTTGATGATGCACGTTGGAATCCATTAATTTGTTTGAAATTTATAATAGAAGTGAACATTCTATGTGTTTGTTGGAGGGGAGGGAAACAATTTCAAGTTGAGCCCAGAAGGTTATAGTGACAATATGCTAATTTGGCCATATCACAGTAAATGTGATCAATCTGCCTTCACATTTAAGTACAGTTGCCTTCACTTGCCCAAATGAACTATTCAGTATATCTAACTCACAAAATTTCAAAGCCAATCCTACTTGGGTTTTGTGTGCCTTGGGAATCTCACACTCAGTTTTGTCTCTCTCTTTGCAATTGGACATTTGTGTGGGAGCAGTGTTGAAGGGGAGGGCAGTTTCACCTGGCTGCTGCTGGTTATAGTGGCATCTGTGGTGGTGATGTCATGGGTACTGTGGCACGTGGGGGGATTATTCCTGCTTCCCAAAACTGGTGATCCAAAGGCTGAAAGAAGATGGAGGAAATGTGCCTAAGGAGGGAGAAAGAATTTGAGTGAAGCCCTTTAGTCAGTGACAGAGCTTGTGTAGTCAGACTTCTTCAAAAGGAGGGTGCTCTATGATAGGGAAGTGTTTGCAGAAGCAACTCTTTTTTACCTTGCAGTTGGTTGCCTCTTTTTCATAAGGATATAATATCTGGTGACTTATCTTTAACCTTACAGTCTAGGAGCTTCAAGTGGTTGAAATCAAGTGGCTGCCTCCCTTCTCACCAAACCGTTGGGTCTGAATTTGGAATCACTGCCCAGTCAGACATTCCTCTTGTCTCTGAAACTGTACATTAAAAACACAGCTACACACACACACACACACACACACATGCTCCTTAGCTGCTCATCACAGCTTTGCAGTGGTAATTCTCTGGTTTTAAGTGAATTGACCTGGCTGCTTTCATCTTCAGGTAATGCAGCCCCAGTTTATAATTCAGACCAGGATCTTATGGAGATTTAGAAAAAGGCCCAGAGCTTTGCTTTACTGTGCCAGTTAAAGCATTTATACTGATGACAGTTAAATTGTTGAGGGCTCTGTTATTCATTTACATCACAGACACTAAGGTCCTCTGACGACCTACTGCAAATGTAAGCCAGATGTACCTAAACATATCTATTGTACATTTTACTTCATTTCAAACACTTCTCCTGACTTTCAACTCAAACCTTCTGTCTGTCTTGTCATGCTACAGTATTTAATGATATTTTATTGCATTAGTTCACAAAACCCTTGCGTTTTTCAGTTGTCCTAAGCTAATGGACTGGATCTGTACCCATTTGCTAATACAAGATCTTTTTTAGTAGGTAGCAGAGCTATTAAACATAAATCAAGGTTTCCGATAAAATATTAGGTTTCTGCTGCATCTTACAAAAGGACAGTCTGCAGTCCTTTTGTAAAATATCAGTTTTACCTGATGATTGTATCTTACAAGCTATAGTTAAATCTTGTTTGTGGATTTACTGCATTCCATACACAGTAATTTCATACAAATCCATAATGATTTTGTATATTCCTTTCATTTAGCTCATAAAAGAAACCACATAGTTTGCCAGCTGTAGCAATGAGAGCCATCCACTATTATTACCTTTGGAAGGATGCACAGAGAAACTAATTTTTAATAAAAAGGTAATGTTTTTACTATTTAACCTGTATATCAAAAATCAGACAGTAAAGAGAGAATTCTGCCTTGATAAAACAGAAATAGCCAGGCTTGCAGGAAGAAAAACAACATGTCACAGCACTCAAAATCTTTATATATTCCTTTGAAAAATAGGTTAAAATAGTATAAGCTTTGGTAGACACTTTATGATTTTATTGTCATACTTTTGTGAGTAAACAGGTGTCTCCTATTCACCTTTGGAGCAGGGACTCTTCCTTTTGGAAGACAAAGGTTGGTTGTTTGGCATATTCCCTGGTCCCAGCTGTAGAAAGTGCTTGAACAGAGGCTTGGCTTAACGTGGGTTTTGGTACATCATTCTAAAGTGTCTCCACTCCCTGCTGCTATTTTAAGTACACACACAAATCCTTCTGAAGAAAATGTGATAGTGGTTAGGCTGTCCTGAAGTATTGTTCTTGATAGGAAAGCACTGAAGGATACCATTAGGAGCATATGCTCTCTCAGTGTGGGTTGCAGAGGATATAACTGCACTGTTATTTGTACCAGAGCAAGCCAAGAAACATGTGACACAACTTGATCTCATTTTTACCCATGTAAATCTGGAGGGTTTTTAAAACAAGTTTATGAGTTGGTTTAAAATTACATATTGTGAAGCAGAGCACAGTGTGGCTTGTTTCTTGGTCAGAATGTACATACAGTCAATTGGAGCTGCTTGGGAGCTCGTGATAAAATATTTCTTTGGAAATATTGATGGAATGAAAGAAAGCTTTTGTGACAATGGATCTGTCTGAGAGTGTCTTGTGTCTGAAATAAGGGAGGGAGCAAACTGGGACTGTTCACCCAAAATAGCTGCAAGGATATCGCAGGGATATGGGAACCCCAGGTTCAAGTTCCCTCACAGCTCAAGCCTTGTACTTAAAATGGGGTGAGTATGTCCCATTTTGGGGTGGTAGGATGCAATTTGTTGAAACTTTGTGCTGGAATGCAGTGCAGAAAGAAAACTAGCTTAGAAATATCAACCATTTCCTTGTGAAACAGGATTCTTGATTGTAGCTTGCAGTGCAGCTGTTCTTTCTCCAGACTTGGTTCTACCCTCGTTTGGAGGCAATCGTACCAGCACCATAATTTTTGTTGTCCTCTGCTGTAGCAGGATCTATCATGCTCCTCAGCGATGCAGGGTATCAAAAGGAGAAGGCAAGTAAATGGATATATGTTGTTGTAGCAAAGCAACAACAATGCAATTCCACTTTTATATAGGTTTTATGGACCCATCTTGCAGGCTAAGTTTGGTCTGATGTTTTTATTTGGTCAACTTTTTGTCACATAAAATTGCAAATGCATCTACCTTGGGGCCAGGCTAGTGAGGCCAGATGCCTTTATTCTAGGTGATAACACCAGAGTGACCTTATAGAGACTCTGCTTCTCCAAAGAAAAACAGTGTTAACTGTTGACTGTACACTATCACTTGAAATACAGTGCTGTTTTAAACACATGGGACTTGTCATCCTGTATCACTGAAAAAACAGAAGCAAGCATGCTGGCCAGTGGGTAAAAGTGGGTTTTCTTTCAACATTACCTCAAGTGAACAAAAAAACCCAAATACCCCAAACCCCACATTTAAGCTTTATGTGTAAGCCATTAGAACTAACAGTGTCAGGAGTGTGATCACCTTTGTGAACATTCAGGAGACAAAATAACAGTTGCAGCTGAAGGTAACTCAGGCTGTTGCTGAGCTGAGCCTGTCTGTGGCTGGGGCTCGGGGTTTGCAGGTCAAGGCATCTCCTACAGCTGTTCGGAGTTCTGGGGGGCTGCTGACTTGGGGGCCATTGCGTGGGCTCTGGGGATGACCCCAGCTCTCCACTGGATGTCAGTGTTCCCCAGGAATGCAGCTGCCAGAGCACTTATCTGGCAGTAAAAAAAAAAAAAGGCGGGGGGATGGGGTGGGTAGAAAGACTAAAGAAAATTAAAGAACAAAGCAACCTTGACTCTTTAGCAAAGTCATTTAAGAACAAGTTTTGTGACTGTTCAGCCTGAATTATAAGGCAAATCTTGACAGAAAGATCATGTTTACACTAAAACACATCTTACGCAACTTCCGGGCTCACATGCCAAAAAGAGTTGGGTTTAGTTTCAGAAAAAACAAATGAACATTCTTCACTCATCTCCCTACAGTTTTGATATTTTGATATGCTGCAAAGTGAGTGATTCTGTTTTTGTCTCTGACAGTTTTCCTTTTTTCAATAGCCACACAAAAATATTTTTTCAAATCAGTGAAAGCATGAGCATGTCACTAAATGATTGATTGCTTGCTGGGTTTCAGCCTTTGATAATTAAGCTTAACACAATGTCTCCTCTTCACTAGAGAATGGTATTGTGCCAAATTCAAAAGACACATGAAAAATTGAAATCAGAAAATAAAAACCTTTTAAAAACCAACTGCTCCCATCTGTTGTGCAGTTCAGAAGGGAATGTAACAGTGAAGAGACGCAGAACACGTAAAACAGAAGGATGCAGAATGGTGAGCTTTGAGGCTCCACCTTCCACACTCACAGAAGTACCTTCCTGGGAAGGTCTTGCTTCCTGAAGATCTCTGGTTGTTGCTTGTTTTTTTGTTGTTATTGTTTTTAATTTGCTAAAATGGATTCACAAAGGGAATTTGAACAAGGATTTTGCTGAACAGCTGAGTGGGTTTTGTAGCACGTGTGTCTTTACAGACTCATTGGCAATTTGTTGAGTGTGTAGTCCTGCATCTTACTTGGAACGGGTTGTTTCTGACAAAAGGGCAGATTTCTGAACGGAAGTCCAGAAGGGAGTTCTGGCCATGAAATGGGGTACATTTGAGGACCTTCTCATGAATTTAAAAAACCAGCCCAAATCCTGAAGTGCTCGTTCATTATGAGTTTTCTCAGCAATATTAACAAGCCTTGTATTTGTTAGCGAATCTGATCTTAGCCAGTCTGTTGCAAGGTTAGCTCCTTTGGTCAGGCACAAGGTTTAGGCTGGAGTATTTAAACTACAACAAAAAAAAAAAAGAAGATGAAAATGTCTGAGAGCCCTGGCTGACCTAAGAATTAGAGGGGAGCATCATGGTGAAAGTTCTGGTGCTTTCAGTTGAGGTCTCTTGGCCTTTAAGTCTCAGAAGAATAGCAGTTCTCCAGGATCAGGGCTCGGCTTTACAAAAACTTGAAGTCAGGAGTCCCCCATGCAGCTCATGGCAAACTTTCCTTTGGGAAATACTTTTGGCCTGATACTTAGTCTAGTTAATTCAGTCAACCCAAGATAAGAATGTGCTCTTTTGCATTACAGAGCCATCTGTAAAGAAATGAGCCTGTCCCTGGGGCCAGCAATGACAAACCAAGCTGTGAACTGACCTTGCTCCACGTCTCCCATGAGAGAGGTAAGGAGTGTGCAGAGTGAGGCATTGAGCAGCTCTGAAAGGTGAGTAAAGCTTGGGACTGACTGCCCCACGTGCCTATGATGTTCCAGAGGTGTTTTTCTACACCTGGAGTAGTTTCTTATGTGATAGTCATGCACAGCACAATGTTGAAGTGAAGCTCTACTGGAGAAATGTGGTGGATAGGGATTGCATAGCTTCCTCTGGAAGTGGCCTGTGTTTGATGGAAAGCAGTGACCCCAGGTCATTTATTCTGTTTACATTTTGTGACAGGATATACGTGTGTGATGTGCAAGCTGTTTAGGGACATGAGAGAGCAAACCACCTTTATCCAAAAGGTACCTTCACGTCTCTCTGAGACTGGTAGCCAGACCTGTTTCAAGAAAGGAATTCTGGAAAAAATTGAAAAAAACCTGGGCAAAAATTTATTTTTGGAAAAAATAGAAATTCACCAATAGGAAACAAATAAACCAGACTGAAAAGCATTTTCCTCTTGCAGCTGGTTGAAGGACTGACTTTTTTAGAAGCTCTGCAACCTCTTGAGCTCCTGTAAAGCTATGCCAGAGGGGTTGACTGAAACACTTTTTAAAAATTGGATTACTTTATACTGTTCCTCAAGGTTGTTAGTGTTGTCCAAGTTAAGCTCCTTGTCTTGCTCCTTGTTAAGCTTCCTGTCTTCTGTAAAATCTTATGAACTGTATAAAAAGCATGTCTGCTTTGCATTTTTATCCTCCCCTTTGTTCATTGCCTCGTTTTCCAGCCTAAACTGTCATAATATAGTAGGCCAGGAGTTACAGTATTTAATGTCTCACAAATGTAGGCAAGGAAAACTGCAAGTAAATGAGTTACTGTGTTAAGTTGATTTTTGACTAGTGAATAAAAGCAACTTGTGCATGTGTGACTGATGGTGAATTTCAGCTAAGGCCATGGTGCTAAAAGTAGGGGCAGGCAAGACACAGTGGAGCTGTGCAGTCAGACCTGGTTTTGAGTTGCAGCAGGAAAGACTGAACCTTGCGACATTTAGATACGATGCAAAGTTATTTGATTTGCTCTTTTTAATCTTCTAGGTTAAGTTTTTATATGCAAGTAGAAGAAAATGGCAACCAGCATCAATATAAGAAGTGAGATGCTTGCCTGTAACTTTAGGAATTTGTCTGACTGATGCTAAAGGTGTCTTCTGCTGATTACTGAAATATTTTGAATTAGATGCAGCTGGGGAACTGTCTGATGGGAAGCTGAAAACTGGTCTGTCCTGTAGTGCCTGTAGTCAAACATGCTGAGAATCTCTTCCCTCTTTCCCTGACTTTTTTGAGGTGTCAAATACCTGTAAAGCTCTAAGAGCGCCAGACCTGAAGGGATATAAACCTGGTGAGCTCTGCTGTATTCACTGAATTCCAATAATAAGTTAAAGGGGCAGATAGAAGTGGCTGATGGACTGCAGGGGTGGATGCAGCACTCCTCCTGCTGAGAAGCCAGGCTGCAGAAATCCTGTCCAACTGACATCAATGGGAAATGGGCATCTGGGCTGCTAATTTTGTCTGTGATTCTTTGTAAAATGTAATCTTTACCGTTCATCCCTACAATGTGTTTTCTTTCCCTGTGACCACCACACAGTGTTTATTTGATCATGCTGAGAACCCACATCTTATCTGGTCTTCTAACTTTTTCCTTTGGAAAGCGATAACGAAGGAAGGGGGATCAGAGCAGCAAGGGAGAGTGGGGTATTGTGAATAAATATCCTATTTGCATCTGTACTGTTAGTCACAGTTGAATATTCAAAACTCCTGCTATTTTCAGCAGCCATTATAAAGTGAGGCTTTAAATTCTGTATAATTTTTAGTGGAGATGTAGTTTTGGCTTTTGTTTTTCTTTGAAGAAAGATACAGGCATTGCTTCACACTGGGAGACTTATGAAGTTCAGGCTGTGCATGTGGGAATTAGAAACCAATAGGCTTAATTTCCTAAGGTCTTACATGACTGTTAATGGTTAAGCATTGCTAAGGGACTGTGCTTTCTTCCTTTACCAGTTCTCTCCCCTTCATCTAGAAGAACAGCATTTTAACTTCATACAGTCACTAGGAAAAAGAATTACTTTGTAAGTGACCCTTGAATATTTTGGTTCTTGTGGCTGACCCTGGGTTAAAGGATACCAAGATAGCTCAAGCCTGCTTTTTGTCAGCGTTTCCACTCTACAGGAACTCCTGGAGATGCCTTGGTGGGAATCCAGTGATAAAACTGGAGCTCATTTCTCACTTACAGAAAGGAAAACAAAACTGAGGAAAGAATGCTTCCTGCTACTCTTTGGTCAGTCGATAAGCTTAATTGGCCAGGCTTGCCTGCTGTACATTGATTGTACCTACTAATAAAAGAGCTATTGATTGGCACTTTATTTAGCACTGGCTTGCATGGACTATAGTTCCTGCTAATGTTATTATTACATCAACCTTTTCCTGTTCCCCAGTTCTTTAGTGCAATAAATTATGTCAAATGCCTCTAGTGTTTTCAATATTCTTGGATGGTTTTCTTTAGGTTTTTGACCTCCTTAGTACACAGTGTGTCATCTCTAGGATGTGTGAAAATGGCTAATGGGATGCAGGAGGAATGTAGATGTTAACCTGTTGTGGAAAAGTACTGGAATTGTTATGCCTACATTTTAGTTTAATTTGCCCTCAGAAATCAAAGAAATTGATATTCCTGGACATCCATTTAACGTGACTGTGATTAGTGAGCAGTGGTGGCAGGTTAATGGAGACAAATATCTCTATCTGGAAACTTGCACTGTCTTTGTAACCTTGCTGTTACCAGTAGTATCTCACTTGTTACAGCCCAGAGCAGTGGTCCTGTGCCTGTCGCTGGAGCAGATCTGGGACCTCTTTGGTGAGACCAGGACAGAGGGATTTGGGGCTCCAGAAGGTAAACTGGTGTTTCAGACCTGGTTTTGGTCAGTCCTCAGTCTGCCACCGTAAGTCCCAATATTATGGATGAATGATTTCATTTTCTACATTTCATTTATGAAATGAACATGGCTAGATCCTAGCACAAAGTCTGGCTTCAGCAGAGGTACTATGTATGCTACTGTATATTTCTCCTTAATGTGTTTTATGAAGAAAAGATTTTGGATGTCAATGGAAGTTTGGTAGAAATGCACAAGAGCTGCTTAGTACTAGTACATAGTCCTCTCTTTCTCTTGATAATAACAGTGAAAAAAAATTTAAACAGTCATAATATTCACATTTTTAGTTGTACACGAGTTTAGAGGGAGTTTGTTTTTTAAAGTTTTTTGATCCACTTTCAGCCTTTGCAGCTGGATGGAGGTGCTTTGTGTGAGCATTACTTAAAAGCACTAGTGAATGTAATGTAATACCTAATTCTTTACTTGCTAAACTTAAAATTCAGGAGACATGGCTACAACTGGTGCTCTAATTTTTTTTTTCATTCTCCCCCATACCCATCAAATAATCCTCAGATGAAAAAATATTTGTGTTTAATAAAAAGTTGGCAGCAAAATGTTGCTTGTTTCCTCCTATTAAGGCTGTTTATTCTGGCATTTATTTCTAATGCTTTTGAAAGAACCTTGTATTTAAGAGGTTTTTTTTTTTTTTTACAAAAAAACTAATTGCCAAAGCAATCCCCAATGAAGAAAACATTTTACATCTCAAACAACAAGACTAGCAAATAACTCTATGACATTCCGAAGTAAACTGTGTTTTTTCACAACTCTAGAGGTTTAATTGTCAGATGACTGGCATGTGAGGATCCTGACTGGAGGTGTGAAAGCCCAGAGCCTTGGTTTTGATGCAATAATGGACTTCATAAGGCAGTGCTGACTTACAGCAGTTGAGGATCTGACCCTGAGGAGCCTTGACACTGCTTGTGAGTCTTGGTAGTTTTAGATCTCCAATCTTGCTTCTCACTCCCAGTATGATACTTCCCACAAGGAATAAATTACCTGTGCTTTGCCTAGGAGAACTCTGCTACAACTTCAGTTTTGCATTGTGATATTCACTACTTGTTTCAGTGAGTTTTGCATTGCCATATTTTTGGTTCAGTGAGCTTTTAACTTGTGGATGTTGCCCTGCACTGCAGTGCTCTCAGAGTGCATCTATGTATAGCAACACTTCTTACATCCCCTCATATTTTGTGGATTTCAGCAGTGGAGCAGGGGGTGATGCTTGCTGCAGTTGTTTCAGGTCTCTTTAGCCCTGCTGGGCTGCCCCAAAATACCACAGGAGGGGTAAGGGCTGGTGCTGTGCAGCACAGCAGGAGTCAGGCTGCTGCTGGAAACTTGAAGCAGTTGTGAAAAGTCTGCTGTGTCTGTGCACACAGTGACTTGAAGTGTTTTATAAATCTGACAGCCTGGCTCCCTCTCACAGGGGGAGGGGAGACTCTCTGGAGTTGCCCCCTGCCAAACTGAAACTGCCTCCTCCAAACCCTGCCACAGCTCAAGCCAGTGTTCAAATAAGGACTATAAAATATGAATGTGCACCAAGGCCAGCTATTTTAACAGGGCTGTAACTGCTGCAGATAATGTGACAACCCTGTGCCCTGCAATAATAAATGCTGGCACTGGGATGCTCATAGGAAATGCTCTGAGACACATAGGAAATGTTCGGTAAGACTACAGAACAAACTGTGGAACAGGACCCATAGCAGAACATGTTAGTGAAGTGAGGATGTATTGGGAAATGCAACATTAACCCAGAAATCCAGACCACATAATGTAAATGTAGGTTAGAAATTGGTCTCTTCTGATGTTAGTGTTCCTTCCAGATGTTCCTCTGCTCTGAGCTTGGCTCCTGGAGGAAAGGTTCCATTCTTAAGCTGGAGCAAGTTAAAAAACAGTAAGCTAATTCCATATTTGTTTTTCAAGATGCAAAATGCAGCTTTACAACTTGCATTCAGATATACCAGGGTGAGTTTGACAGGCCTTCATACCTCACGGTGCTCCCAAGGCATATGGGGCATTAATTGCCCCATAAAACACCCTGTGTCATGTCTTGTGG